TCATATGGGTTTTGATTGATGTTATTTGGAATGGACAGTCTCATTTTTGGTAATCTAAAGGTATGTTATTATTTCCTTGTTTTTTATTTGCTCAAAAACTTTATATCATCTTCAAGTCAGGTCACTGACATTCCTTCCTTTTACGTCCCCTGTTATTAGGTTCTTATATTTTTGGGGTTGTTGGTTGGTGTTTTTTCATGTTTGGAATACTTGGTTACTTGTATGGATTTAGTGATATGGTTTCTAGTTCATCATATGGGTTTTGATTAATGTTATTTGGAATGGACAGTCTCATTTTTTGTCATCTAAGGTATGTTATCATTTCCTTGTTTTTCTTTTGCTTGTGAACTTTATATCATCTTCATGTCAGGCGACTGACGTTCTGTCTTCGTCTTCGTCCTCTGTTTTTAGGTTCTTGTATTTTTGGGCTCGCTGGTTGCTGTTTTTTGTTTTTTGAGATTCTTGGCTTCTTTCATGGATTACAATATAATACCACCATATTCAATACACGCAACCATGTCGTGTTTATAACGTCTATAATTTTGAAATCCTTCAATGCATCCCTGGAGTAATTTCAACATGATTCCTTAAAAATTCCACACCTGAATGTGTGTTCAATTTGCCGTGCTCTCCAAAATATTCTCTCGATTCTACCGTGTGTATCTTTGATGCATAAAACCAGTTGGTGCCCTGAACGAGACTCCCTTTCTCCCGCGCATGAGACTCATTTAGCTTCCAGATAAGATTCCTGAAGTTGAAAGATCGCAAAAACTTGATCAAGCGCGTGGGGGCGGAGAGAGAATCGAGTCTCCCTACGCATTGGAAGGCTGGCAAGTAATATGTATGTTCAATTACTTCCATGGAACTCACTTTTCCTCATGATTCAGTATCTTGTTCTATGAATCCATCCATTGCAATGATAAGCCATAGCTCTACCCATATATCCTTCCACCATGATATTGGTCAATTGAAATTTTCAACCACATACTGTTCACACTATTTCAGCCGGGGTATCACATTGTGGACCAAGAAATCATACTCATCCTCTCAAGTACACCTGTCAGTGAGCTCTATAAAGTAAACAATCAAAGGGGGCACAGTTTCAATCATTGCCTCCTGGCTTTCTGTGAGGAGAGGAGGGTACAGAGCGCTAATGTATAGCAAAATGACAGCATCATTGGGCTCCCTTCAACTTCCAGATAGGCTCATGGCAGTTCCCTTACAGTCCTCAATTGTCCTACACAAAGTTGATTCTGGAACTTTTCCACAAATTTTCCAGAACTGCCCCAGAACACAGATTTGACTGTGTTCTGGACTCCTGGACTTGTGAAAAACAGTACATGTTTGAATGCCCTTTTTCCCAGGGTGCAGAAGCATTCTGGCTTTCTGAAAAATGTTCTGGAAATTTCGTGGAAAAGTTCCAGAATCAACTTTGTAGTATAAATGTCTCATATGCTGCAATTTTGTTTTCTCCCAATGGGGATGTGCAGTACCCATTCTATGCTCCAAGCCCTGGTTGATTCCAGAAATCCTTGTGTTATCAAAGGTGAAGAATTGGATGCACATGTTGAGATTCTGTTGATTCTCTCCATAGACACATAGTTAAATCCATGGTATATTCAAAATATTGCGCAGTGGGAGTTAGGTTTGATTCAACTTGAGAAATCAATGAGCCCTGATTTTTGGGAGCATCAGGGTTTTGTATTTCCTGTGATAATTATCACCAAAATTACATGCAGACATTACACAATGTATGACAGCCTTGTATGCAAGGAGCTGTATACACATAAGCTGCGCGCGGGGCCAGAGCACCAAACATTCTACCTCTTCCAACCCATAGTGGTGTGTATCTGGCATGTCCCAGACATGTTTTTTCTTGTTTCTTTTTTTTTCAACTTTCCTCTTTGTCAAGAGCAATTTTTTTATGGGGAGGGGGAATTTTGCACAGACACATTTACACCAAATGTTTTGGTGTAAAAAAGATACAGTGCAAAATTATTATCACCCCCCCTAACTTCAAATTTTACACATGGATCTATTTTTTTTGATGTGTAAAAAATTTCAGTGCAAAAGTTACGGTGTAAAATTATGGAGGGCGGTCAGAATCTACAATTTTGCACCAGAAAAAAAACACCGGATTATCCGGTGCAAGGAAATCTGGTGCAAAATTGTGGGAGCCTTGTAAAATTTGAAATTTACACATGAATCTCACACCAAGCACATGACTTTTACGCCAAGTCCATGACACCAAAGGAAATCCGGTGTAATTCCCTCAGTGCATTATTACCACTTTGGTACTCAAATTTGAATTTTGCACCGACCTCTCTTACACCGCCCACCTTTCCTACCTCCCTTTGGGAGATGATTGATCTACAAAAATATCATTGAATTTCAGGCTTTACATGGCCCAGATAGAAAGCATTCCCACAACATACTGTGGAAGCAGGGTGAAGGATATTCCACCCTGTTAAGATATGTTTGAAACGGAACGATATCTTCAAAAAGGGATAACAAATGGCCGTCATCCACCATCTAATCATAAATACATTGTAAGGAATCTATCCTAAATCAACCTCTTTCAATCATTTCAAGGAAGAGTTACTTTGATTGATTGAAAGAATACGTACTTCACATTATTGATCACTCAACCAATTTCAACCCTTTTGAGCAAGATGGGGCAGGTCTCATCACGACCTGGACCTGCTGGCACTGAAGCCTTTCCAGATGAGAGCAGGATCCAATCTGATGATAACAAGCAGCCGTCCAAGACTCTTATCCCTCAACCACCTCTTTACAACTCAGTCCACCATTACAATTTCTCTTCTAAATCATCAGACTCTTCTGACTCATCTTCTCAAATCACCAATTTCTCTTTTGAGTTGTCAGACTCATCTTCTCAGATCACCGCACTGTCTATAGTTCTTCCAAGCCAATCATTTGATGCTAGCATACCCTATCTAGTGTTTTCTTTGATGTCAGACACAGACAAACCAAGTGATAGTGGTTATGGAGACTCTGACTTGGTTGCTTCCCTTGATAGTATCATCATCCCAGAAACTGCTAGTCCCACTATAACGCTCCCCACTATAACTGTTAATCACCCCCCAACTACAGCTACCTGTTGAGAGACACCTCTTCAGCACCTTCATTGACCATGGCACCATTGTTGACAAGGAAGGGCACCCACCTTATCCCAATGGAAACACTGTTTATGTCTTGGAACCCACTCAACACATAGCCAACTTCCGCTTCATCGCTTGGACCCACACAATGCGCTCTGAAAAATTGTCTAATAGCAAGTGGATCATCCAAAGATACTACTGCCTTGGGGTTATCAAGTGTTCCAACACGGAATGTCAATTTGCTGGGTCGCCACCAACCGGCGGCAAGTCACCAAGTTAGTATGGGGTAAGTAGAGCTTGAAACCTTCTGTTCCCTTGGTTTGTTTCTAAATGTTTTTGCTTTGTTTCTCAATTACCAGAGGTGTAAATGCCAAATCCCTGGATGTGACAGATTTCAGACCCACATCAAATGTTCAGCCCGTTGTCAAATTGACAAATATATTGAGGATAAATGGTCTTTGCTACGTCATCAAGGAGTTCACGACCATGATTTACCAGAAGCCAAGAAGGTGGACCCACTTTCAAAGGACAAGCTTAAAGAAAGAGTGCTTGAAGACCCTAAGTGTGGACACTTGTCTTTGAAAGTGTGTGCTTTCCTTCCTTTTCTGCTTCCCTTTTTGCTTTTGTCTTTGTCTTCTCAACTAACTCATTTCTATCTCCTCATTAGGTCGGTCACGCACATACATGTACCAATCCAATATCTTCTGTGGTTGATGTACATCCCTCTTTTGGCCACGCGGACCGCCTAGGGGATTTGTGGAATGTATAGCTCATCCAACATGGTTCAATGGAAGATAAGAATGACAAGGAGGCCGGTGATAAATGGAACCAACAGATCAAGCACTGTTCAAAGTAAGTGAACACTCAAATGTCCCAAACATGAAGAAATACTGAATCCCTTATGTTTTTTGAAATCACCACAATCCATCACATAACAGCCATGGTTTGCGTATCATTTTCAGTTCTTGATCACCCAAAGACATGCATATGACCTTTTGATATCCCTGGATGGCGGAAATCCTTGTACATCAGGATTTCAACAAGCCATACTCAGGTGGCCTGTTGTCGGACATCACATATTGGTTCTTCAAGAATGGCTATTTATTGACCACCTCAATGTACAACGCCACTCTTCAACGCTGGGTTCCTATCCTTCTCACTTGGCTAGACGTACTCAAAACAGGCCATTACAAAGCTCAATTCTTGACATTATTTCGTTGAATTCAGAAAAGCACTCGCACTGACCAAGACAAGAGGCAATTATGTGAACAAGTTGTGGATTTCTCTTTAGCTCAAAGGAATGGCTTCATAGATGCGTACATGGAGGTTTTCAACATATACGATCGCGATTTAGCACTCTCCAGGATACATGGCTGTCATCAGTATTTTGCTCAAGCAATCACACGTTTGAAGAAGAACCACTCGATAGTCAAGGTGAACCAAGAGGTAAGAAGAGTATTTCATTATTCTCATTCTTCATATATATCTATACTGATGTTCATTTGCCGGTATTTCTATTTA